CTCAAGGCACATAATTGTCAGATTCACCAGGGTTGAAATGAAAGAGAAAATACTGAGGGCAGCCAGAGAGAAAGGTCAGGTTACCCATAAAGGGAAGCCCATCAGACTCACAGCAGATCTCTCAGTAGAAACCCTACAAGCCAGAAGAGAGTGGGGGCCAATATTCAACATCCTTAAAGAAAAAAACTTTCAACCCAGAATTTCACATCCAGCCAAACTAAGCTTCATAAGTGAAGGAAAAATAAAATCTTTTGTGAACAAGCAAGCACTCAGAGATTTCATCACCACCAGGCCTGCATTACAAGAGCTTCTGAAAGAACCACTACAAATAGAAAGGAACAACCAGTATCAGCCTTTCTAAAAAAATACCAAAAAATAAAGAACATCAACATAATTAAGAAATTGCATCAACTAATGGGCAAAACATCCAGCTAACATTAAATGACAGTATCAAACACACATATATTGTTATTAATTCTAAATTTAAATCGACTAAATCCCCCAATCCAAAGACACAGACAGGCAAAAAAAGCCAAGACCCATTGGTATGCTACATCCAGATCCATCTCACATGCAAGGATCAAAACAAAGGGATGGTGAAAAATTTACCAACCAAATGGAGAGCTAAAATAAATAAATAGAAAGCAGGAGTTGCAATTTTTGCTGATAAAATAGATTTCAAAGCAACAAAGATCAAAAGAAGCAAAGAAGGATATTACATAAAGATAAAAGGATCAATGTAATAAAAAGAGCTAAAGATCCTAAACATATATGCACCCAATACAGAAATACCCAGATATATAAGACTTACAAAGAGACTTGGACCCCCACACAATAATAGCGGGAGACTTCAACATCAATATTAGATAGATCAATGAGACAGAATGTTAACATCGATATCCAGGACTTGAACTCAGATCTGGAACAAGTAGACTTAATTAACATTCATAGAACTCTCCACTTTTAATACACAAAATATACACTCTTATCAGTACTACATCACACGTATTTACAGGTTTAAATGAAATATTGGTTGGCTGCTTGTTAATTATTTTCTTCCCTCATTTTTTTTTTATGTCTCTATTATTAAACACAATTACAGGCATACCCAGTTTTAGACTGCTTTCTAGCCCGGGCAATAAAGCAACACCCCTGTTCTCTCTCCCTCTTCCTCTTCCTCTTTCTTCCTTTCCTTTATTCTTTTTCTTTTTTTTTTTTTATTCTTTTTCTTTCTTTCTCTCGTTCTTAAAAAAAAATCTTTTTTTTTTTTTTAAAAAGGGGAGAATTCGCACTACCAGATATTTAAATATGTTGTAAAATTACAACAGTTAAATCATTTTGGCAATGATTACAAATGAGATAGAGAATGGGATGAAATAGAAAGCCAGAAGGAGATCAAATACCCATAAGCATTTAGCACACGGTAAACATGACATTCAATTAAATTGGAAAAGGACAGATGGCTTCTGAGTATATAAAAATGTAGATCATTCATCTAATAACATTTCTAGAAACAAAAATAAAAGGCAGTGAACTGGAAAAAATTTGCAGCATATACACAAAAGAATTACTGGCCTCACTATATAAAGAGCTTTTGCAAATCATTAAGAAAAAAAAAGCCAATGTGCACTATAATGGCAAAATGGGCAAAAATTATGAGATAATTATTAAAGGGAAAAAATACAAATGTCCAGTAGATGTACTGGAAAATGTTCACCTTCAAAAATCAAAAATGTGTTTTTGCTAAAATGATGCCTCTATCGCCTCTTAAATTGATAAAGATATTAAAAATAATAGCATATATTATACATGTGACTATGTGGCAAATTTATTGCTGAGATACTCTGCTGATGAGAATATATATTTATACAACCCTCCAGGGGAGAAATGGACACTATGTATCAAGAAGTTACAGTGGTTCATAACCTTCAGTTCAGGAACTTTTGTAGAAATTCTTCCTAAAGAGGTAAGCAGAGGAGTCCACAAATAGTTATGCTCACAATAACTTAGTAAAGAAAAATCCTAAGTGTCCAACAATAGGTGATTGGTAAAATAAATCATGGCACTTGCATGCAATGGAATAGCATGCAGCTAAAGGAGAACATTTGAATTAGGATATAACAAATGAAAGAGGTAGGCTACAAAACAGCAAAATACCAATTTGTTTAAAAGTATGAATGGATGTACATAGTGGGCAAATGTTCAACAACTTGTAAACAGTGGTTTTTGAAAGTGATGAAATTTTTGGGTTTTTTTTTCTTCCTTTCCCTCCTTTTTGTTTAATTCATTCTACAAACACTGGCTTGCCATTATGTATCAGATATTTCTACATGTTCTTTTTTGTTCCCAATGAGTATGGATTACTTTGTAACCAGAAAAACAGACACATTTTATAAAAGTCCATCGTCCCAAACTGACTTTCCCTTCCAGATGGTAAAAATCTAATAAAGGACTTGAAGCAAAAATAGGAAGGGCGTGAATCTTACATTGAAAGCATAACATAACTTTCAAAAGGATTGGGATTACGTTCAGATCACTCCATGTCCTGCCTTTAGGAACACTTTGTAAACCATACTCACCTGTTTCAGCTTGGAGACAATCTGCTCCTACAAATGTGAATGTGATTAGCGTCTCCAGGATCCCTTCCTAACAGGGTTCTCGAAGCGGACCATTTAAGGAGCCTAACATCTCTAACCGTTTTAAAGTTCATTATCCCAATGGAGCCCCCACAACAATAATAGGCAGGTAGCGATGACTCTGGTTTTGTGGATGGGGTCAGTTGAGTTGGGGAGGTGATGCCCTGCCCAAGGCTGAACCCGGGGTTAGAGACGGGCAGGCAGTGGTGGGTGGGAAGGGCCCGGGGACTAGGGCGGGTGCCGGGAGGGGCGGGCGCCTTACCGCGGCCTGCTGGAAAGCGCCCTTGGTGTAGGTGCCGCCACCCCGGTAGGAGATGGCAGGAATCTCTTGGAGCAGCAGCGCGCACTTGTGCTGGCGCGCGCGGCGGGTGGAGATGTAATCGACGCGCGGCACCACGTAGTTCTTGGACGAGAAGGTCACTATGGCCACGCGCGTGGCCGTGGGCACCACGGGGAAGTCGGACAGGAGCTTGCGGACGAACATGAGCTCGCTGCGGAAGTTGACTTCGCCCACGCTGGACGAATCGTCCACCAGGAAGACGAGCTCCAGGCGCTCGCTGAGTTCCCGCAGCCGCCGCACGCGTCTCCGGAACGCCTGGCCCAGCCGCTCCACTCTGCTCCCAGCTGCTTCCTCGCCAGGAGCCGGCGGCGCGGGGAGACTCCCGGGGGCCCCGGGCGCGGTCTCGGGGAAGAGGCGGAAGCTGAAATTGCGCGACTGGGACATCTGCTGAAAGGTCGCCCAGCCCGAAACGAGCGCCAGACCCCAGCAACAAAAGGCCAGGCGAGCCCACATCGCGCTGGAGACGGAGCGGCCGCCCCGGAGTGCAGGCGGCGGCCGGGGCGGGAAGAGGCGCCCAGCGGCGCGGCTCACAGAGGGGCGTGCGCGGAGCAGGGCGCGGGGCAGCGGGGGCGGCCGCGAGCCTCAGCGCCCTTTCATCTGACACTGGGGACAGACACAATCCAGACTCCTCGGCAGCTCGGGGACTCCGGAGGGAACGGCGCGCGCTCTCTACTCCTCTCTTTTTTTCCTCCCTCTCTCCTCCTCCTCGCTCTCTCTGAAGCCTATAAAATGTTTGAAGGAAAGGGGGCAGTCAAGAAAAATCTCCCGCTTCCCTCCTTCTCTCCCTCTCCTCCTCTCCCCGCTCCCGTCTCCTTTCTGTATCTCTGACTCTATCTCCCTCCTCCCCTTCTCGTTCTCCTCCCGGGATCAAGCCAAAGACTCGGAGATTCCATGACACCAGAACCCCGCGTCTGTCAGGCTGTCAACATTCCCGCAGCAAGCGCACCAGCGCCGAAGCCCTGATTGATCCCATATGTCTGGCAGGAGCTGCAGAGGAATTCACTGGAGATGGATCCAGATACCGAGAGTGCCACAGTAATTGGAAACACTTTGTAAACGAAAACACACACGCGGCCGACTGGCCAGGGAGTTGAGAGCATCTTTTGAAAACTGCTTGCTCACCTTTTGTGTTTCTTCCCCCCACCTTCAGTGTCCCAAAGCCCTCACCAAATAGATGACTGTAGAATTTTCCGGATGGGGACTTCTAATCAGTGGTGTGTTAGCGTGCAGACCATAAAGCGCCCCCGCAGGTCACACCATAAAGAAGTTGCATCTAACCTGATGCATTCCATAGGAATGATTTGTCACGGTGCTTCAGTCGTGCACTATTCATTCATCTGTGTGTTCATTCTTTCCTGAATTTAACAAATATTTTTTGAATGCCCATTATGTGCCAGGAGCTAGGTGAGGCACTGGAGATATAAGGAACAAAAATTGACACGGCTTCTGTCCTCAAGGAACTTAATAGGGTAACAAGTGAGGTGAGCATTAACCATATATTAACATGCAAAATATATGTAATTACAACTGACCATACTAAATAAAGGAGTTTAGGTAGACAGACTTGACCTTGGAGAGGCCAGTAAATCCTTTTCTGAGGACATAAAGTTTGTGCTGAAATCTGAAGCATGAGTAGGGGTCCCCCAATCTCCCTTCATGTGCTGTTGATCTATTTCAACAGATAAGATTCACCTGGCTTTGAATGGTACCTGGCATATATCTGCTTTGAACAAGTTGCTACCTGGGATGGCTTTTCTAAAGCAAGAACCCCAAGGGGATGGCACACGTGTAAAGGAAAGGTACACTTTGCATGAGGGTGGAGTCTTCGGTTAAATGATTCAGCTGGGAGTCAGGGATCCTGTGTGGTTAAGCCTGCAGTTATGTAAACCACCTGAACTGAGTCACTTCCAATCCTTAGCTCAGCATCAATATCTATTTCATGATGCAATTGAGTGATCTCAAAGTTTTCTCTGTCTCTGATAGAGAATGATTTAACTCCATCTGTACTTACCAAAATACCTTCAGTGAGAAGTATCACAAGGTATTGGTTAGTATGTTAAGGCTTTGGCATCAGTTTTCCTGGGCCGAAATATTGACTCTGCCATTTCTAGTTGTATAGCCTCGACTCAGTTTGCCCATCTGTAAAATAGAGTAATAACAATAGCATATTAAGAGTTGTCATAAGGATTAAGTCATAAAAGAGTAAAATTCTTAGGACAATGCTTGGAATATAGCATGTACTCAATAAATGTTGGCTGATTACTCTTATTGCCACCTTTAATCGTGAATGTTATTCAAATTATTTTCCTAACAATACTTATTGACCACCTCCTATGTGCCAGCATCTTAGATACCGAGGATTTAAAGGTGAATAAGACTGGGTTCCAGTCCTCCAGAAGTTCAAAGAACATTAGAAAAGAACATAGATTTGCAAACAATTACAAAGCAGTAGGATGATTGCAAAAGCAGAGAAGGAGCAAGGAGAAGAAAGATCACATTATTCCTGGGGAACGAGCAAGACTTCATTTGAGCTGGGGCTTTTTTTTTTTTTGAAAAAGAGAAAGGTTTTCCAAATTTCACCTATTCTGTGTTATTTACAATACATCATGAAGCCCTTTCTGTGCAAAGCACTGTGGCAACTGCAATGTGAGCTATTTCCTGTGTTCCCCATACAAACCAAGGAAGTACACAATGGCTTGAGAACTCTTGCTGCAAGTAAGTGGCACCCAATGTCTCTTCATTTAAACAAAAAGGGATTTCTTGGTTTGTATAACTAAACTAGGGAAAGGGCAGAGGGTAGAGCTGGTCTCAAAAAGCCTTGGAAAAGGAAATTAAAAATGACTCATGTCTTCAATTTTTCTCTCACTTTGGCTCCTCTTTGGATGCCACATTTAGTTTCTTCTTTGGATTTATAACCTGAGAAAGACTTTTCCCCACAAATTCAAATTTATAATATTTTGAGATGTCTGCCATAGATCTAGGCCCATTCAAAGCTCTCTGGATAATTCTGACACATGCTGTAGGGGTGAAAGCCTAAGAACAGCACTCTGGCAGTGTGTACTTCAATGGGATGAATAGTCAAGCCCAGGTTACTTGTCCCCACGGTAAGGGAGTGCGAACACATCAGTCGGAGAAGTCCTGCCTCAGTGTTATTAAGACTGCTGCTCCAACTCGCCACCGCTCCCCAGTGCTCTGTAGTTCCTTCCGCTCTCTAGTCTAAAGCAGTGGTTCGCAATGGGAGAGATCTGCACATCTCATTCCCAGAAATTGAGCAATGTCTGGAGACATTGGGGGATAGGGCAGTGCTACTGGCATCTAGTGTATAGGGGCAAGGGGTGCAACTAAACCTCCTACAATGCACTGGCAGCCCCACAACAAACAATCACCCAGCTCCACATGATAATAGTGGTGAGGCTGAGAAACTCTGGCCAATACCATAGTAATAGATGCAGAAGACGATAAAAACGTGTTAGACTAAAAATTAAGATTAGAAAGGCTAGTAATCCCAGCACTTTGGGAGGCCAAGGCAGGTAAATCATTTGAGGTCAGGATTTTGAGACCAGACTGACTCTGACCAACATGGTGAAACCCTGTCTCTACTAAAAATACAAAGAAAAAAAAAAAACAAGCTGGGCATGGTGACACATGCCTGAAGTCCTAGCTACTGAGGAGGCTGAGGCAGGAGGATCACTTGAACCCAGGAGGTGGGGGTTGCAGTGAGCTAAGATTGTACCACTGCAGCACTCTAGCCTGGGCAACAGAGTGAGACTCCGTCTCAAAAAAAAAAAAAAAAAAAAAAAAAAAAAAAAAAAAAAAAAAAAAAAAGAGAGAGAGAGAAACAACTTAAAGGTACAGAAATGACAACATGGAGCTGAAGTGCAAAAAAACCTACCCTGACTTTATCTCATAAAATAAAGACTTCTGGGGGGGGAGGAAAAGGGGTGTTTGTGGGCTAGGGCAAGAGGCATGCATTATATTCTTCTCACCACTTAAACTGTTATTCAGAGTCCCACATTTTGTTCAATCAGGAATAGAACCTCAATCCTGTGTACCCATTGGGACCAGTGCTTGAGTGGAGAACACCAGCTATACCCTCCCTTCACTGCAACCATCTTTCTACATTGAAGTAGATACCGTGAAAAGATACGTTGCATGTACATATGGGGGAAGATGGGAAGAGGGACTGAGGAAGAGAGCAGAGAGTGGTGATGGCAAAGATCCTCCTGAGATACCAAGCATCAAGTCCAGTCATGGGAGCAGAGGCGGGAAAAATGTCTGTTTGCACACGTTAGTTGTCGTATTTTGTTTTGTTTTAAAAACAAAACTATAACACAGTGTCCTTGAATCACAGCAGCAGGCAGTGGTGATAGGAGGAAGCTGCCACCTTGTGACTGCATTATGACTATATTTATAAGAGTATCTCTCTGCCTTGAATTGAACAAAGACTTTCTCTCACCTACAGAGGTTGGGAACATCTGCCACCCTAAGTGTTTCTTTTTAAAAAAATTTCCATTGGTTTTTGGTGAACAGATGAGTAAGTTCTTTAGTGATGATGTTCTTTAGTGAGATTTTGGTGCACCCATCACTTGAGCAGTATACACTGATCCCAATATATAGTCTTTTATCCCTCACCCCCTTCCCACCCTTTCCTCCTGAGGCCCCAAAGTCCATTGTGTCATTCTTATGCCTTTGCATTCTCATATCTTAGCTCCTCTTTATGAGTGAGAACATACAATGTTTGTTTATTCCATTCCTGAGTTACTTCACTTAGAATAACAGGCTCCAATCCCATCCAGGTTGTTGTGAATGCCATTAATTTATTCCTTTTTATGGCTGAGTACTATTTCATCATTCACAGTTTCTTATCCACTCATTGGTTGATGGATATTTGGGCTGGTTCCACATTTTTGCAATTGCAAATTTTGCTGCCATAAACATGCCTGTGCAAGCATCTCTTTCATATAAAGACTTATTTTCCTCTGGGTAGCCAGTAGTGGGATTGCTGGATCAAATGGTAGTTCTACTTTTAGTTCTTTATGGAATATCCACACTGTTTTCCATAGTAGTTGTACTAGTTTACAATCCCACCTAGCAGTGTAGAAGTGTTCCCTGCTCACTGCATCCACTGCAGCATCTATTATTTTTAGATCTTTTGATTATGGCCATTCTCGCAGAAGTAAGGTGATATTGCATGGTGGTTTTGATTTGCATTGCCCTGATCATTAGTGATGTTGAGCATTTTTTCATATGTTCATTGGCCTTTTGCATATCTTCTTTTGAGAATTGTCTATTCATGTCCTTAGCCCATTTTTTGATTGGATTATTTCTTGCTAATTTGTTTGAGGTCACTGTAGATTCAAGATATTAGTCCTTTGTCAGATGTACAGATTGTGAAGATTTTCTCCCACTCTGTGGGTTGTCTGTTTACCCTGCTGTTTATTTTGCTATGCAACAGCTCTTTAGTTCAATTAAGTCCCAGCTGTTTATCTTTGTATTTATTGCACTTTTTGAGTTTCTGGTCATAAAATCCTTGCCTAAGCCAATGTGTAGAAGGGTTTCTCTAATGTTATCTTCTAGAATTTTTATAGTTTCAGGTCTTACATTTATGTCCTTAATCCATCTTGAGTTGGTTTTTTGTACAAGGGAGAGATGAGGATCCAGTTTCATTCTTCTACATGTGGCTAGCCAATTATCCCAGCACCATTTGTTGAATAGGGTGTCCTCTACCCACTTTATGTTTTTGTTCGCTTTGTCAAAGATCCATTGGCTATAAGTAGTTGGGTTCATTATTCTGTCCCATTGGTCTATGTGTGTATTTTTATACCAGTACCAAGGTGTTGTGGTGACTATGGCCTTATAGTATAGTTTGAAATCAGGTAATGTGATGCCTACAGACTTGTTCTTTTTGCTTAGTCTTGTTTTGGTTATGCAGGCTCTTTTTCGGTTCCATATAAATTTTAGAATTGAAATTGTTTTTTCTAATTCTGTGAAGGATGATGGTGGTATTTTGATGGGAATTGTATTGAATTTGTAGATTGCTTTTGGCAGTGTGATCATTTTCACAATATTGATTTTACCCCTCCATGAGAAAGGGATGTGTTCCCATTTATTTATGTTGTCTATCATTTCTTTTGGTAGTATTTGGTAGTTTTCCTTGTAGAGGTCTTTCACCTCCTTGACTAGGTATATTCCTAAGGTTTTGTTTGCTTGTTTTCTGTAGCTATTGCAAAATGGGTTGAGTTTTATATTTGATTCTCATCTTGGTCGCTGTTGATATATAGGAGAGTTACTCATTTGTGTACATTAATTTTGTATCCTGAAACTGAATTCATTTATCAGTTCTAGGAGCTTTTTGGAGGAATCTTGAGGGTTTTTAGGCATAGGGTCATATCAGAAAACAGTGACATTTTTTCTTCCTCCTTACCGATTTGGATGCCCTTTTTTTCTTTCTCTTGTCTAATTGCTCTAAGACTTCCAGTAATATGCTGAATAGAAGTGGTGAGAGTGGGCATTCTTGTCTTTTTCTAGTTCTCAGAGGGAATGCTTTCAACTTTTCCTCATTCAGTATCGTGTTGGCTGTGGGTTTGTCACAGATGGTTTTTATTACATTGAGGTATGTCCTTTGTATGCCAATTTAGCTGAGGGTTTTAATCATAAAGGGGATGCTGGATTTTGTCAAATACTTTTTCTGCATCTATTGAGATGATAATCTGATTTTTAATTCTGTTTATGTGCTGTAACACATTTATTGACTTGTGTACATTAAACCATCCCTATATTCCTGGTATGATACCCACTTGATCATGGTGGATTATATTTTTGATATGCTTTTGGATTCAGTTAGCCAGTATTTTGTTAAGGATTTTTGCATTTATGTTCATCAAGGATATTGGTTTGTAGTTTTCTTTTTTGTTATGTCCTTTCCTGGTTTTGGTATTAGGGTGATACTGGCTTCATAGAATGATTCCCTGTTTCTCTATCTTGTGGAATACTGTCAATATGATTGGTACCAAATCTTCTTTGAATATCTGGTAAAATTCAGCTGTGACGCCATCTGGCCCTGGACTTTTTCTGTTGTTAATTACCATTTTTATTACCATTTCAATCTCACTACTTGTTATTGGTCTCTTCAGGGTATC